GAGAGAGAGAGAGAGAGAGAGAGAGAGAGAGAGAGAGAGAGAGAGAGAGAGAGAGCTGTGCGTGTGTGTGAGAGATTGAGCGAGAGAGGACGGATGAAATGATAGACGGCAGCAGTGCATATATTGTATATTTACGGCAATCAGCAGAGCGTCCCGTTGCGCAATCATGCGTGTACGCGAGTCGCGCGATCACTGTGTGAGTGGATGTCCGGATGCGTACCCTGAAGGCTAGGCGACCATGGACGGCGAAATCAACGACCGATCCATCTAACCACACCCACTCACCCACCGGCCTGTTATATATATATATATATATTATTCACACTTTTCTTTAATTCGCTCACATTACTACGGTGCGATTTATTTGACCGAATTATATTATTGTTTTACAGATCCCGAGTACAGGGGTGAGCTTCGCTGCGTGGATATGGCCCAAGTCTTTGTCAAGGATGATTTGGCGTTTCTATGTAAGAAGACGAAGAAGGGGAGGAGAGGGAGGAGGAAGAAGAAGATGCAAGAAAAGAAGAAAGGGAGAAGGAATGAGAAGATGAAGAAAAAGAAGAAAGGGAGGAGGAGGATCAAAAGTTGAGCTTCAGCCAATCACTGTGCCAGTGTCAACAGGCGAGATCAACTGACTGAATCGTTGCAACGAACACTTGAGAGCGATATAACAGCTCATCAGCTCTACAGAAACTGGCTTCTTTCTCGAACACGTGACATCCTTTGTTCGCCTTGTTCGCCAGTCAGTACTCCATTTTCTCTCGGAGTGTCTCATGGAATGTGCAAGGTTTCCTTCATTCTCCGTTATCGCCTACAAGCGCCACGATTACAGGTAACATATACAGTAATGATAAACGCATTGCGCATGTGATGCTATAAATAATACTGTTATTAAATACAGCTCAGTGATAAATGTGCTTTATATAAAAGTAATTAAGTTCTTTGAAAGACAGGTGAATGGGCCGTCTGTGGCTGTTCGCGCTTCAGAATACTGTACAGTCCTCATTTAAATCCCTCCCTAAACAACAGGCAGGCGTGAGGTGTGCGTGTCTCTCACGCTGTTTCCTTCAGTTAATTTTAAAATAAATTACGTTGTAATGTACGGGGAATCCATCGACCCATCCATCTAACCACCCACTCACCCACCCGCCTGATTTTCATTTTTTTCAAGGACATTTGACGTTCTATGTAAGAAGACGAAGTCACGAAGAAGGGGAGAAGAGGAAAAGGAAATGGAGGAGAAGGATGAGGAAAACTGTCAGCAAGCGAGATCAACTGACTGAATCATTGTAACGAACACTTGAGAGCGATATAACAGCTCACCAGCTGTACAGATCAGCAGATCGGATGGAAGAGCTTGGAAGACTATAGATATTTCAACTGTAGCCTCGCTATGTAAAAGATGGTAGTAAATCTCCAGAGAGAATTCTGACAGTGATATGTTACGTTAATGTTATGTTCCGATACTTAATGTCGAGTCGAGCTGCTCTACTTGGGATATAAATTATAATGACAAGGTAGTGTGTAAACTCCTTTGTGGCTGTCATCGCAACAAATTATATCTACAGATCTCGGCACAATTAACGTGATAACGTGTTCAAATTCTCCTCCCGTTTATTATTACGGTCCGGGGTAGTCTGTCTGTGGGTGACGTGGAAAAAAACTAAACATAGTACAGTATCACGCAAATAGTTTATTACATCATAAGTGATTTTTACGTGGAATTATTGTTGTTATTTTTGTTTACGATATGCACCTGTTGTTTGAAGATGGAGAACATTTCCTAAAAGCTTAGTATTGGTTTCGGTCCCTGACAAGTATTGGA